TCCATCTTGTCGCTCGTCGTCGACCGCAGACCCCCGCATCGGGGGAAAAAGAGAGCTAAATCAATGTAGGACATTTATATTGGCTGGAAATCGCTGACTCTCGGCCACCGTGGACAACCCACCAGGACATATTAAGATTTCTGATCCGCCCCACCGGACATTTTTATTATTGCGTGTCTCCCTATCCACACCCACCGCCTGCCCCCGACTTACCCCTGCGGGCAGGGAAATAAAACGTGAATTATTGGCCACACGGCGGATCCTCGAAGCGAACGGGTCCGTGTCGATGGTCCCTTGGGTCTATCGTCGCCTCTCCTACTTTGGATCAGCTTTCGTCGACCTTAATCGAGACGTCGATCTTTCGGATGAGTAGGTGGTATGGAGAATTCTTGTTGAAACGGAAACGTTTCGTCGGGGAGTAATGTCATATTTTTTTACGATTGTCATACGGTATTTCAATTAACCGAATCTTGGTTGGTTTCATTTTGGAAAGGTCCGACAGTTATTGCTAGAGATGTCTAGATTTTGATATAAATAAGGTGTCTTATAGAACAGTTTCGAGGAATTTAGCACCATTTTTGGAATATTTAATTTAACCCTCAGAAATCACACCCCACGTCAGAGCACATGTAAACTAACAACGGAAGGAATCCACAACCGTATCACTTCGATTTCATCGATCTTTTGTAAGATGATAAATACATATTTCTTATGATATGTGTGAAATATTAACCGTAGTTCCTTGATAGTTTTGAAGATATAATTAGTTACAGTTTTCGATCCGAAATTTTTTTGTTATAAACAAATTATATTTTGGACAATTTCTTAGCACCATATTATTCTACATAAAAAACCGTGAACCTCGTGCATTAGAAGTTTTCGTGTATCTCCCCTGGTTTTCGAGATTGTAGTACTTTCAGGTCGAAACTTCGAGGGGTGGTTTCACCCCTTAAAGTCGCGTCTCAGCCGATAAAAAAAAACGTATCCCTTATTCTTGACTGCTTAACAGACATATGAAGTTTCGTGAAAATCGGAGATGGACACTTCCGTGCCTACTCTTCTAAAATTAAAAACTGGCAAGTTCGACCCGTAACAAATTTATTTTAGCATAAATATTTCCTCAGTAATTCAATGGTACAGTGATTGCAAAAGTGAGAAATAATTATTTATCGTAACGAAACGAAACCGTTATGCTAGCCAGATGGAATGTTACAGACGAAACAATGTTTCGCCGATGCAAATTCATACTGGTGTCCGAGTATTAACACTAAAATTAACACCAGAACTACCAAACAAGTAAAAATGACTTGTCAGTATACTCCTATAACGATGATTAAAATGTTATACCAATAAATATTCTAAGATCTTTGGAACTTTTATTACGATATGAAAGTGAAGAAATTAGTTAATTTATAAATTTGTAAATTTTCAACAGTTTGCCATGTTTATCGATCGATGAAATTAAACATGCGTTTATCATAGATAGTTCTAGTGTTAAGAACTCGGGCGACGAATACGAAAGATACCAAAATGGGCCCATTTAAATTTTCTAGAGCCCGTGTTAATGAAGTTGTTTCCGACTTGACGAGTTCTAAGAGTAATCGCTCCCAACCCTCGAAACGAAAGGGGAAACGTTCGAGGAAGAAAAGAAAGGGAAGAAATCATATCGAACGAGAACGTATCAGAGCCGCGCGATGTCAAAGCAATTCATTTAAATTAATAGGTCCAGAGGCCGAGCGTTTATCGCGCGATTAACAGCGGCTTTTTCTCTTCTGGTTCTACCCGTCCCCTCCCACCCCTTGAGGGGGGGGGGCAGTCGTGCGTATTTGTAAGCCGTTATCGACTGCTGCCGCGATAAACTCGATGTTTACCCGTTGAACGAGCTCGATAAATCGTTGCAACCGATTTCACCCTTGGAGCCGAATTCTTTTTCGATATTATTTACCTTGAACAGCTCGAAGGACTTGACGTGTCGTCAAGAATATCTATTAGAAGTTGAAAATTAGAAGGAAAAGTTAAGTAGTAGTTTCTGAATATTTTTAAAACACCTGAAATTGTACGTTTGCAAACACAAAAATCCTCCCCCAACAAAATAGTAATTACATTTTTCTTACAATTTTCAAATTGAAATCAGATATTAGATAATCTAATTTTCATGTACCAAATGTTGATTAATATTATTATTACTGCGGATTTTTATGCGAAATGATATTTTATAAAGTAATTCGCAAAAACTAGAGTAAACAGGAACTTCCTTCTTCTCTTAAGTTTCTTATTGGGTTCAGAATAAAAACTCATTGCATGTGACGAATATTTTGCCTTTTCCTTGTAATTGACAGAGCTCTATTGCCTATAATTGCATAAAATCTGCAGTCTGATGATAATTATTATCTTTTAAAATTCAACTTCAATAGTTACAAAATCTGTTAAAAGTGTTCAATTCATTGGTGCATATACCCTATGCCAATTTCGTTCCTCGAAACGGTAACCGACGAGACATGACTGTCAAAAGGACGGGTATGTATACCTAACGCATTTTAGCCGTCTTGTCCAAACCGTCCTCCTATTGGTTCTCAAGCACCCCACCTCTTCCGTTCGGTCAATCGGCGCGACTCGGCGCGCAGCCAGAGTATCCCACTCGCAGTCTCGCGTCACCCTTCGCGTAGTCAGTGTCGTTTTTCCTTTCGTTACATTTCCCATTCCCCAGACATGTTCCCATCCGGTACCATTCAGTGCTCCGCGTAAAAGTGTCTTAATCGAAACTACCAAGTGAAGTGCCCGATATTGTTTCATCGAGGAACCTTTAATCGTTGTTCGAAAACAGGGGTGTAGTTCTCGAATGATCGTAGCTTCGTGGATTTTGGAGTTTCACGATTCTTTGAACGGTGTGTCCCTATCTATCCACCGGTGAAATTTCGACGGCCATAGTCCTCGCGTTAGCCCCCGAAACTTGGCTGTCCCCTCTCGTTCGCCCACCCCCTGGCGGCAGGTGGAGGTGGCGGAAGAGAACAGTGGGGTTGGAACCGTCGACGAAAAGTTTTCGGCTGGTGAGAGAAGCTCTCCACTACCACCACACGGTCGCCAGAGAGGATAAGGGAAACGGGCGGCGTTGGAATATTTTAACATATATCACGGCGAAATTGGGACGAGGGTATGCTGCCGCCGCGAGACTCGCAACCCCCGCCCGCCATTTTCCACCCCCGTGACCGCACCGCCTCGTAGGTCGCAACGCCACGATGTTGTCCCACGACACGATTTGACTGCCTTTCCAACCCCGTTCGCGACCACTCACAGGCGAGATGTTTGTGTGCCCCGCGGACTACGGCGGCTACAGAATGGTAAGAGCGAGATTTGGATGGCGTCCACGCGATCTCGTCTCGGATGGATTTTCTAGTCTGGTTTGCTTGCAGAGGAAAATTTTTGTGGGTTATTTTTTTTATCAGTTTGGTAAGCAGAGGTTTGTAGGGAGCAGTGGGACGTTTTTGAAAGCGATGGGATTTTAAGGTTTTTGTGGATTTAGTTTTTAATGGGACTGATCTTTGAAGGACGGGAGATAGTGGTGGGAGTATTGGAACATTTTGGAAAAGCAAGAGAGTTTTAAGGTCTTTGGGGATTTAGTTTTTATTGTAAATATTCTTTGAAGGGATATGTATTGGTAAGGAGTAGTGGAAAAGGTTGGAAAGCGATAGGATTTTAAAGTTTTTGATGGAACTATTCTTTGAAGGACATGTTTTGCTGAGGAGGATCAGAAAATTTTAGAAAAACAGTAGGATTCCAAGATTTTTATGAATTTAATTTTTGTAACTCTTCATTGAAGGACGAAAATTTTTAAAAGCTATAGGATTTTAGGGTTTTTTTTGGACTTAATTTTTGTTGCAATTGTCCTTTAAAGTGCACATGTTTGAAGTTGTGATAAACGATAGGAATTTGAAGGTTTTTGTGGATTTAATTCTTGTTATTACATTGTTATTGCTAGCCCGCGGAATATTATGTAAATACACGGTCTTCAAAGTACAGCTTCAAAACTGGACGTCGAACAGAATTTCCTCCCCTTTATTAAAGTTTTCATTAAACTCGAACGAACCTTTCTAAACACTATGAAAGTTTATCGTAATATTTATTTCACTTTGTTCTACTCACTTACACAGTCTTGTTATTTATTATTTGTTTCCCGGCAAACCCATGGCTGCATGTTTAGAATTTTATAGTAATCTAGAACTACGCTCTCTGTGTCGTCCAAAGAGCGTCCAACTAAATGCTGCACAGCAATCCATGAAAAACGAAACTATAAATCATGAGAAATTATTTAAGCTACAATTTTATTTCTCACTCCATAGGCAAACTGGTTGTTTATGTCTAAGCCTAATTTTTTCAAATGTTTTATACCTTCAAAAAATTGCAAAAATTCTGGGATACTTATCGAAGTCTCTACTATATTGTACAATCATTCGTTAAATCGAATGTTTAAAATTGTTTTCAATAAAAAGTAAAAATTCATAGAAAAGTCTCAATAAATTGGGAATTGACTTGGGTTGTCAACGTCCTAAATTATTAGGTATACTTGGAGAGTTAAGATAACAGTTTTATTTAAGAAAAATTATGAAAATATGCACGATTCAGCTGCTTCGGTTACAGTGAGTCTGAGAAACGGGGCGAATTATGCCTCAGAAGTGTTTTTGATCGTCGAATCGTAAGAATATCGTCGTTCTGGCAGCAGAGTGATAATCCCTCGGCACATATTTTCATTGTACCGTAAACGCTTGGCATTCGAAGACTGACGCCACCGAGAGACAGTCGTTCCGCTGTTGCAACATGTTGCTCTGAAACTGCAACTGGCGCGGTGTCGATGGTCCACGAGCTCCGATCACGAGAAGAATCGGCGCCGTTTCATAATGGGATCTGTTTTTATTCGCCACGATCTCACCTTTTGAATTTCGATGTAAACTTCGTTCACCCGTGTTCTTTATCCTTAATAGTCGTCTTTGTTCCATTTGTTGCAGTACGGCTCGGACGAATTCGGCCAGGACTCGCCGAGATACACCTCCCCTAAAGCTGCGGCCCTCTACGCAGACCATTATTATATCGGTAAGTCGAGGAACAAGAATCGTTTAAATTTTATAGAATGAAAAAATGAACACTAGAACTACCAAAGCAGTCGAAATGACTGGTTCGTGAACTCGTTAAAAATTATTAAAATGGCATGACAGTGTTTTTTTTTTTTTTTTTTAATTTTTCGACAACTTTTCTTGGAATGTATCACGTGAAGAAGTTCGTTTATTTATCGATTTGCGTATTTCCAACAGGCTGTCTGATAAAAATAGATACACGTTCAGTTTCAGTAGTTGTGTTAATAATGATTGCCTGGATATCAATCGGTCATTCATCGAATAAGGACCAAGGCTGTAGCGAAACACTTTAATGTGTTGTAATATAAAACTTTGCTCATAGAGACTGTTTTATTTGTGCGGTTTAATTATATAGAGAAACACGTCTTCTGTTCAAATTAGGAAGTATTTATCGTAGAATGATTTCAAAAGTACAAATCACGGGGGTCAGCACATACAAATCATTTAACATATTTTACGCGTAGACTTTTTTCTTGGGACTCACGTGTTGCAAAGAAATTCCGCCAATATTTTATCTCTGGGTAAACACATCACTTAACACATTTACCACCTCACCGGTGGTCGACATGTAACACGAATCCAAATGTAACGTAACACTGTCTATGTGAACCAAAGGCACCCGAAATAGGCTCTGCGATGAATGTGTGAACACATGTACAAATACAGTACTTATTGATAGTAAAATACTTCAAAGATCTCATAGCAAAAGACATACTAATACCTTCGAAAATTGATAGCCTAGATAATAATTCGAATACTTTGGTTATTCGAATATCAAATTCGAATACTTTGGTTATTCGAATATGAAATTCGAATACTTTGGTTATTCGAATATCAAATTCGAATTCTACTGCTATTCGAATATCAAATTCGAATTCCACTGTTATTAGAATAATTCGAATATTCCAATATCAAATTCGACTTCTACCGCTATTCGAATATTCGAGTACTCGAATTAATCGAATATTCGTAACAACCGTAAATGGTACCTTAACCGAAACCCAGAACCGTTAAAAAATTCCTTCGATTACGCGTGGTATTCTTGAAATATACGAACCGAAATCGTAGTGTCGAGCATAACTCAGTAATCTGGGTGACGTCCTTCGTCAACTAAAAGTAACATCACAAGCCGTGGTTCCGTTGGATCGATCGATCCCTGGCTACCGATCGTTCGATCCGATTTTCACGCAGCAGCAGCTAACGGCGTGCATCTATATCCGCTCGAAAATCGCGTAACGATTCCGTACGAACGATAAAAGGGGGAGTTTACGATCGCAGTAATATTCAGCTGTTTAACGCGCTCGCGAGCGCGCGCGTGCTCGTAAAATTCGTCGCTCTGGCTGTCGCGCGTAAAAACAATAACAATCTCTCGTTATTTGTTCGAACGGCGCGGGTCGCCTCGTCCTGTTGTGCCTCGGTTCGGCTGAAAATTCGCGCCCACGAGAATTGAATGGAGAGGATAAAATAAAAGGGAAACGAAGAAGAAAAAAAAAAGGAACGCGCGACGCAATGGTGCGGGGAAAAAAAAGGAGGGGGAGGAAATTGCGCGCAATAAACTTTATATCGCGGGGCTCGGTGTTCCTGTTTTACGCCGATATAATTTAATCGCGTTGCGAAACCGACGACGTCGCCCGATGCCATTTCGCACGGTCGACTTCTAACGATCCTATGTTCCGCTCCGATCCTTGTCGTGCGTTCTGTTTGTTTACCTGGTACAATCCCCCACCGAAGTTTGATGTTATTGCCAGTGACGTCAAGGAATTTACCAAAAAACCACGTTTTCCGAATTGGAATTAACGAACGTTTACCCTTTCGTGATTGACTGGGCAATACGTGTCGAGGAAGTAACTTTTACAATGTCTGCTGGAAAATATAGGGTGTACTAAAGGATAAGGTTTTAGGGATCAAATTTAGACGTCATTTTGAGGTCAATTCAAGTTTTTTAAATGTGAACTCTTATTTTTAGCATCAGTAGTGGGAACGAAAAATTTTACGTTCAGACATGTGGTCACATCCTCGGATCGAAATGATTTTTAGGGATCATTTGAAGGTCAAATCGCTCTTCTACTGAGACATCGAATTCAGTCGAGAGAATTAAATTTCTAGAAAAAGTGTTTGATACAAATGTTTGAAGACTTAGAAAGAGCTATCTGATGGTGACCTTGAACATGACATAGGGGTGAAATTTAAGGTCATTCTGAGGTCAATTTGTTTTTTTAACCTGGGAACCCCTATTTTTAGCACCAGACATGGAAAGAACGAAAATATACACTGTATATGATAGAATAATCATCTTAATAAACTTGAAGCAGGGATGATATTTTCCATTGGAATTCCATCACGAAATATTGTTACTCTCCTAGTCCAACTTCTAACTCTTCAAAAATTTGTGATTTCACAAAGCTCTTCCACAATATTTTGTGTAACCACGGATTAATGGCGCCGCCTAATAACCCGCCCCACCATGGTTTATTCAATTTTGAGTTCGGGGGATGTTTGGAGTTATTGTTGTTCAGGTTTAATGGGGTTTAAAGGTTCGAGAGTTTGCCCGATGGAAATCTAGGTTCAACAGATGGCTTTGGTGGAAGTTGGGTCATTCGCGGCGCGGGCTAGCGGAACTTGGGTGTATCGTAATTTCGTTTCGATACGTTCCGATTCGGTGGAATCCGAGCTACCTCTGGTGGTTAATGTCTTTTACAAATACTGAACCTTGTACGCGTTGAGTTTTAATATACTTTGGTCGTGTAACGCGCGAGGTTGAGGATGTCTGGATCTGTAATGGTGTCGGACTTCAGCGGAGCTTGGATTTATTGTAACTCGAGTCTAATAAGAGGAGTATGAGTAACTGAATAGACTGACACGTAGAAAATGAGGGGTTCTAATAATGTATAACAGCGTCTTCAGTCTATTTTTAACTTAACGAAGATTTTAATGAAAGAAGTAAGATTCTATGTAATTGTTCCAGATTTTGTAAATTGATCTAAGAACAGGTGATCTTATACATACGTTTACAATTTATTTATTGTTTTTCTTGAATAAAATGTAGGCTTAGTATTGTCTACACAAATACCATTATTTGTTTCAGCCCATATGTCCATTAGTTTATGAAATATTTAATGTTCAGTACCGAGGAGCCTTCGAACACTCATCGAGGATTTACTCTAGTCTTTACCTACACTCCATCCTAAAAGTGTAACATCAGAAAAATTCAAAACCCTAGAACCTAAAACCAAAAACTCAACAAATCCCCTAATACAACAATCCACACCATCCTAACAACAAAGTAAAACCTGCAAACATTTCTCCGTAATCCGATGTTTCGTCTGCACTTTGCCCAGAAGGAATTCCCAGTAAACGAGCCTGGAGGTGGGCTCGCGTACCTAAAAGTTTCCCGGATGGATTACCGAGGCGGTAAATCAATAAGATCGGTAAAGTTTTCCCGGGGTAAAGTTGTTATTAAAGATCACAGAGGGTAAGGAGAAGAGAGGACTCTCGTTGGTGGCCGCCGTCTCGAATACGTTCCACTTGGGCCCCCCGTGACACCCGGTAGGCGAGCGGAATAGCTTATAAATTGGCAGGGGGACGGTTGGGAGGGGGGTGGAGGCGGACGAAAAACTTTTATCAGACATCGAATGCCGGTAGTCGGGTCGGAATGGCCGGGGTAGTTTGGCTTAGTTTCAGTTTGCTCGTCGAGGGAGCCCCTCGGCCGCGGAATTATATCAAGCAAAAGTATCAAGAAATACGTTCCCGAGGCTTATTGCTGTTGTTTTCAACTGAAATAATGGCCTCCTCCTCGCCTATTGCCCCTCCACCCCGTCATCCCCCATACGCCAGATACCGGGTGTACCGATCGAACCGCGGAATATCGACGATTCTGGCGGAATTCCAGGTATAACTACGGTGACCATATGGGTCCTTTGTTTTAGAGGACAGTACTTTATTTCATTGCTACGTCCTTTAGATTTAGTTTTCTAAAATGGCGATTTTGTCCGTTGTTTTGTTAAATGATATAGTTTATTGAATATTGGCACGGGGCACACATTTTCATTGGCACTCAGTCGTTGGTTGTGTTATATATACAGGGTGTTAATTTTAACGCGAACATCTAAATTATTTCCGCTATTATTGAACGTAAGAAAAAATGACTAAATAGGATGTAAATGGTTTTAAGGCGTACATCTGATGGTGATAAAAAAATCCTGTGAAGATCATTTTAACAGTTTTTTCAATGTCGTATTTTTTTTTGTATATTAACATGTATTTTTTATAACGTGATGAGGTAGTCGGCATCAAAATAAGTTCAACGAACTACGCACCATGACCTTGAAGGCGAAGAAATCCGTTTCAGAAGTAAAAAACATTTCATCACCATTTTTTCTTACTTTCAATAGTAGCCGAAATAATTTAGGTGTTCGAGTTAAAATTAACACCCTGTATATCTGCACCCCAGAGTCAGAATGTATTAAGTTCACTTTTCTATAAAATGACATTTTACATGCTCCCTATATCAAGTAATTTACACGACGATGGCTTCGGTCGCACCTCGCTGACCGCAGAATCGAATTTCCTCAATTCGTATTTTTGAGGAATTTACTGGAACGTTTTTCCTCTGCTGTTGGCAGTCGAGCAACGGGAACAGATAATATCGAATGGCTGGTAATTCGAGCGAGGTTCGAGACCAGGTACGTGTCTTCGGAAACGGATTTCGTGGGGGTCGAACGTTTCATTCGGGCACGTGCGGCGACGTTCTCTGGTCAGTGAACACGCCACGTGCTGCTGTTTGTTGCTCCGGAACGCCACCATCCCCCCACACCTGTGTGGATGCAAACGACCTGCTTACGGGTCGAAGATTGTGAGAACGACGGAATTTTGTGGAATCGAGGAAAATAGCTTTGATGTGTCTGTAAGAAGGGGTTGGATTGATTGAGGGTATCTGGGGAATTTCTTTTTTTTTTTGGTAGACGTTTTTAGCATCTATCTTTGATAGATGTGAAAGTTTGAGAACGCAGACTGTGCTCGTGTTTCCATAAACTTGCATGTATAATTAGGTGTGGACTCTGCTGAGCTGTGATAAGTAGACTGCGGAGTTTATGCATTTATAACCTATAGGGGTCTGTAAAATACAATAAAGGACAGAACTTTCATTAGATCTAATAAGTTTTTTGGTTTATTTGAAACCGAATATGATACTTAAAAAGGGAAAGAAATTCCTATATTTGCTCTTCTCTGTATGAATTGCTTTAGAAAATATCATTATGCATAAAAATCCGCGGTTTAGTAAATACATTCATCAACAGTAAATTGTAAAAGGAATTACCAGATTTGCAGGACACGATTGTCCGTCTCCCACACTAATTAAGAGAATTTCTTTTGAATTCCTTGAAGTGTCCTAGAGATAATATTAATGTTTCGTGGATATCTCAGTTTTTCCTTTCATTTATCCCCTAAGCATTAATATAAATTCACACGAATTCACACAGTCTAGACGTCAATTAGGTGATACAACGATGACTGATATCGCGTCTCCCAGTTGCGGGAGTTTGAAGATGCCAGAGTCGAGGTAATGATACGAAAATTGTGTTTCTTTTGTGTTCCAGATGGAAACGCCGCAGGAACGGGTCCCGGAGACCCATGGACGGGTGGCGGAGGTGGAGTCCAGCCCCCGTACAGCGGATACGCACCCCCTCACCTGGCCCAGCCAGCCTACCCCATGCACCTACCCCACGACCCCATGGTAAGCGAGTCTTTTTCTCCCCTCACCTTTTCGTTCTATCGTTTGTACGGCACCCCCTTGTCGACCCCCCAGGCCGATCAATTACGCCTGGCTACGCACGTTTTTCCTTCGGACCCGACACGCTCCCCCAGGAACTTCGTGATAGACAAGAGGAACCACCCCGAAAATTTCTGTCGTTGGTCAGCCAGCTGCCGACGCAGTCGTTCGATTAGAAACTATCCTGGTTATCTTCGTCCTTGAACGATCGATTCTTTCTTCCCCTTTAGGAAGATTTAGAAAATCTTAGACGCTCCTCAACAGGAGTTATCATTGTCCCTATTGGTATATTGAGTCAATAAGGGATTTTAAGAGCAATCCGTATTGCTTATTCAAGTAATGAATACAATTGTTAATTATATATGGAAGAAAGATATTTAGGAATGTGGACTGGAAGATATTCCTTTAGGAGTTAGGGGATCGCTAAGGTGGGTGGCATTGTTGCAGCAAACAACCTAAAGGAACAGAACAATAGTTATAGGCTTGCTAAAACAATATCTTTTCCATGCAATACTAACACTATTGCCACCTAGTTACATTTAGATGAAAAACGTTTCGAAGATTATAGGTCGTATCGACGAGCAGAGGAACAACAATACACGATCCTCCAATTGCTTCCAGCTATGTAGATCACTCCTAGCGTCTCTATCTTCCCTGTATGTATCTATTATCCTAATAAATTCCACCAGTCCCCGAAAAAAATGTTGCATTCCCCGATTTAGCGTTCTCCAAACGATCCTCCCCTAATCGCTCCGTGTTCCCACGATGAAAGCCAAAACCGAATTGTCCGTATATTCCCGTTCCATCATCGTAAATTTGCCTCGACGCGTTTCGACGACGCCCAGCAAGACATTCGACTCGTTTGACATTGTCGGATTCACCAGCAGCCGGCCGTTAACTCAGCACTAGGTCAGTCTCCGTTGTGACTTTAATCCTCGTCATCAAACCCTCGACCAGCTGGCCGAAGAATCCTCTTCGTATGTACACCGTCTTAGGTGATCCAAGCCCTTCCTAAAATCTCACACTTTGTCCAACCCTCCATTTGTCGTCCAACGGGCGCGGTTGAGAGACACTGTTGACAGTGTACACGGAGCAACGTGAAATGACTCAGTGGCTTCTATATATAGAACGACCCTCCCGCTACTCGGTGTTTCTAGTCAAGTGCAGCCTTCGTTTGATTTACGCCGTTCATGGTTACCACGAAATCCTCCGTCCCGTGGATTCCCTTCTCTCGCGTTTCCTCCGGCGAACCCCATGGAATCTCGACTAGACTACCCCCAAATCGATCCCAAGTGGGATCCATCGGGATTCCTTTTTGATAAAAGGATTCAATGACCTCGTGGCGACCCCTGTTCGATCGTTTCAACCGATTGGAATCTGTCCAGAGTTGCCATGGGTAGCTACTTTTAACCATAAACTTGGCGAATTTTTGTAGAGATGTAGCAGTCTTGTCTTGCGTAAGCAGACCATGTGCGCCCTGCACACTGTGTGGCGCTTATTGGTACTAATTTGCGATGACATTATATAAATAAATATATACATAATAACAAAAATATATAAATTTGTAGACATGTTTATATTTGTTTATTATATATACAGAGTGATATAAAAATCCGTTCCCACGATTTTTAGGTACTTCCGACAGTTGGACGAGGAAATGTTTCGAACAAAAGTTAATCAAGTTCGTGTCCACTACAAATGCAATATTACAAAGTTAAGAAGGGCTTTATTTTAATGAAAATTGAAGGTCACCTTGACTTTTTTCAAACGATAGTGGAGACGAATTTAATGACCTAGTGTACAATAACCTTCAGGTGACCTTGAACTGAGAAATCGTCACGAATCTGTCGCCACAATGTTTGCACAATTCCATAAAATAGAAACTAATAGGTTTCACAGTAATGTAATAACAAGCAATAGTCTACAGAAGGAAATGTTCAGGGCGTACTCTCAAATTCGGCTTTCGTTAGAGAAAAAAGTGGCGTTGGAGAAGGGCCTCTTAAAATATGGTATCAGGAATTATTGAAATTTATGCCAAATTAACAATCGATTTAATATTCATTTCAATACCTGAAATAAATTTACCAAGTGGTAGGAGGTTTTTGTTCTTACGCCTCATTTTTCCCCTAGTGGAAGCCAACTTTGTTCGTGGGTGTACCCTCACGAGCAAACTCGGTTTCCATTAGGAGAAAATACGGCGTAGAATAAAAGTCTGCAACCACTTGGTAAATTTATTCCAGGTACTGAAATTAATGTTAAATCGAATGTTAATTTGGCATACATTTCAGTAATTCCAAATACCAAGTGATAGGAGGCCCTTTCCCTATGTCTACGCGAGACAAGACCTCCAGATCTCCACAAAAATTCGCCAATTTCATGGTTAAAAGTAGCTACCCCTGAAAACCCTGTCGTAGGTTTCTAAAACCCAAAAGCATAATGGAGGTAACCCATCTACAGAAGATGTGTCCGTCATTTAGTCCAGGTCGACAAAGTTAAACGTTAACGATCGTAACCGTTTAATGATCCCCCTTCGTGTTCGTAGAAGCTGTCCTCACCCGCGGACGAAGAAGCCCTCTTTTGTTCTCAAAGCTTTTCGACACGATCTTGCGAAAAAAAAAAAAAACGCGTCGACGACTCCTGAACCCGCTTGATAGTCCATCGTTCCTACGTTCGTAAAGCGAACAATTAACGACGCCTCCTCCCAGCTCGTGAAACAGGGGGATTGGGGGAGGCGACCACGGCGCACGCAAACCCCCTCTAATTTGTTGATAAATACTCTTTGCTGTTCGGGCCGCGAAGATGCTTAAAATTAGACGTTTTACGACGCGGGCCTTCAGTAGGTGCGAGCGTACGTGGAAACACACGCCACTAACCGTATCCGATATCAAAGCTTTTCTCCCCTGGTCTGATCCATTATGAACCTGAAGGAAAGGTTGGATCAGTTCGGACACTGCGTCTCACGGGAGCACTCGTGTCGGAATCTCGATGTACTTTGTCTTGTCTCCTTACGACTCTTCTGGTCGTCAAAGTTGGAACGAAGTGTACAAGTTTTCGTTGGCGGGCCCCGTGATGCTTGTAGGCTGCCCTCTTTGATCTTCGTGGAGGATTTAATCTTGGTTATGGATCATTCTTGCGATTATTAACCCTCTTGGGTATAGGATTGGTGTAGGACAGTGCTGTCCAAGTTGAGAGGGGCCCCTCACAAGCCTGATTCCCCTTCCAATCATTCTATCGCACCGTTTGCTTTCGTAGAAACAAAGAAGCTCAGACTCTTGTCTCTGGTATTGGACGGGGTGGGGGATGGCTGTTGGTTCTAAAGAGCCACATTGGACAGCACTGGGGTATAGGTGCTGCATGAGCATATCGATCTGTCCTGCTGGTTTTATTATGGAGAGACTGAGGGTCTGATCATTCTTGTTGGATTCTGTGGTCTATGGAATGAAGACGATGAGGGACTTCTTTAGCTGCAGGGTTGTAACTATTTGGACTAATCTCTCTATCGTACACATATCACACACATTTTCGGATTTTTCGTAATCAGGGTCACATGAAGGTATAGCATACTATAGACCACATTATTATAGGTCATTGGATTGGTCTTGATCTTAACTATTACGTCGCCTGATAGAAATATCTACTCCCATTTCAGAAAACATCGATGACCTCGAATTTTCGAAAAATATCACCTTGAGAAAATTTGTTTGCTTATCATAATGTTTGCTCCTTCTAACCAAATAATACTTTCCCCACATGTTTTTGTATCTTCAAAAACAATTGTGATATTCAAGGTGCTCATTTCAAGTGAGACACCTTGTATACAGGGTGAAACACGAATCGTGATCAGTAGATATGATTAGATATGTTCCAATGTACAGAACGAAATATTTGCAAACAGTAGGCAAGATCTCAACATCGGAACGCATACAATGGCGTAGCATACGATACTCTTGTTATATTACAGTTCGAATATTTCTTTAATCTTTCCTCGACCCAGACGAGAAAAAAAGTAACACATGTTATGTTATTATACTTACCGAATTCGTCGTGAAATCCTCTAACAGATAGGCGTAAAAAAATTATAGGTGTATTTGCAAAAAATTGAAGGTGACCTTGAAAAAATCAAAAAAAAAAAAAGAGTTGACAAAAAATTTGCTATAATCACGTTAAAGGTCTCTTGAAACCATACTATACCTGATAAAAACATTTTCGATCGGACTGCTAATAATAGAGTAATCTCTACTGATCACAATTCGTGGTTCACCCTGTATACATATATGGCGTTCCTGGATCTTTCTGTCCGACATAGGTGTCATTCTTTGACTGGAGTTTTTTGTAGCTTTAGAATTGCCTATCCCAAATCTACTATACTTTTACAGCTGTCCAGTTAATCCTTCTTTCATAGGGTACCTAACAGAGACTATAAATCAACCCTTAACGCTGGACGACATATTAATATTCAACTATACTTTCAGCATAACGCTGAAGGACATGACGTCTTCTTGTTCATCGAGTGCCAGGAGACCTTTGGTCGAAAGGATTAATTCTTTGATTATTCCAGGCTTACTCGGCCATGTCGCCGAACGGAGAACCGGCGGCGCCGATTCTGGGCTCGGCGGTGACCAGCGCGGCCTCACTGCCACCAATGTCGACATTCCGGGGTAGCGGCGCGGTCGGGGCGAACAGCGGAACCGGTGCACCTTCCCCGGCGTCGTTGCAATATAGTCATAGTCCCGGTGCGCCGACGACCGGTGCGCCACCCCCGCCAAATTCCGCGCCCACGACGAACCAACAACCACCGACGGGGGACAACCTCGGCAAAGCACTCGCGTCTGTAGTAAGTACCAGAGTGAGTATCATCCCTTTCCACGAAGAACTACTATCTCAAGTTATACGAATTATTGCAGCTAAAATAGTCACTTTCTATTACAACGTTTACTCCGTCCAGGGTGTTGAAATCATATCCCCTAAGTCTGGAATAGAGGATCGTCCTAAAGTAGCATTTTGGACTGTCTTTCCACAGAGTTGAATCGATTGATTCTTCAGATACAAGCTTGAACTATTTAATTTAGTCGAGAATTTTGTAAATTATTGTCAGATTTACACGTCAGTTTTCTGTCTATGAAGTATTTCTGCCATGAAGGGAAGGATACCTTACTGTTAGGGGTCCTAGGTATCTTCTAGCATTGAAGATGTTGTCAGTTCTTGCTCACCGGGTAATGGTTCTTGATTGTTTTTGTATTTCTTGATTTTCTAGATCTACCCCACGGACCAATCAGTATCCAGTTATAGCAGCAACCCATCCACACCGGTCAGTTCGCCGCCACCTTTGACGGGTTCGGCGCCAGGCTGGGCAGCAGGTGCTGCGCCAGTCTCGCCGCACTTCACGGCGGATCCGAACCGCGGAACCATTCACATGGTATGCACCGATGCAATTGTACAAAATCATTCATTTTTCCTATCAACAGTTTTATATGTATACATTTTTCGAAACCCCGACACTTCTAACGAGATACCCTAACGATACACTTCGAATTAAAGAAACCTAAAAGGTGGACTGAGAACGTATACGCAGACCTAGCTTAATAATTTTTCCCGCTATCAGTGTTCGCTATAACTGCTTCGAATCTGACGGTCCACTCGAGAGTTTCTTAAAATCGGTATCAGTGAATTTTTTATTCATTATCATCTCGTTGGAAAGTGACGGGAGGCATCATCGAACGCAGAACACGCTTCATCACCGTTTCGGTGCGCTTCAGAAACAGGTCAAGGACGATTCGTAACAGAATCCACACTCGTACTCCCGTACACTTATGCGATATTTTATTTGTACGCAGTAAGGTGTATCGTTGGAAGTTATGTACCACCTTTGTCACACGCACTGACCTTAGTTTTGCTTGGGGGGGATCGAAACGGTTCGAAGAGATCGGACGAGGAACCACACGTGAACCGCCGCAGGATTGTAGAGTTAAGCCCGTTACGCACTTGGAGGCAGTATTCCTAGCCAATATACTTCTTGGTGACAACTATACTGCGGATTTTATGCATTGCTATAGGTCTCTGTGAAATACAATGAAGGACAAAACTTTCGTAAGATCCAACGAGTTTTCTATTTTCTTTTGAACCCAAAATTTAGGGGAAGAAAAGAATTTCTACTTTTGTTTTTGTCTTTATGGGCAACCTTCTAAAATGTGACTGCATAAAAGTCCGCAGTCTAGTGATAACTTATGTTTTCTTTTTTTGTCCTAAAATATTCTAAAATGTGTTCGAATTACGAATATGTTTTTTGTTTTACCTAAATTTTACTTGAAATAGCAAATGCAAATTTTTGTGTATATTGTGAGTATACTTATTATTTAAAAAAAATTTTTAAATACCATCTTTTCATGACAAGTATACTCGACATAAACATCGAATGGGTTAAAAACGTTTGAAAGATACGGTTGATCGTCCACGTCCAATGTGGTACCATGAATCATTCTGTTACTGATAATTCCGTAAATAATGCTTTCATTTCAAGTTTCCTTCTCCTATCCGTGGATGTGTCTGGTCACATTTGTTTCATGAATGTTAAACATGAATTGTACGACACACAGACCTCGGTGCATTACATTTTCGTTGTAACAAGTGACACCACGATCTTCTCGTGATACTATCTGGCAACAACAAGATTCATCTTGTCGTATTTTGCATAGTACTCTGTTTGTCGGTACAGTCGTTAACGTGCTCGTACAAAATGTTTCTGGGTCAACAGTGCGCGATACACGATGCATTCCCAAGTGCGTACGCGGCTTCAGACGAAAGATCAGTCACCACCCCTTGCACTTTCGCACCCCCCAATAATCAGAGTTGACTATCACCTCATCGATTACGAGTCTCACGTTTTCCTTTCTTTTTTTTTTTTTTGCGACGATGATTAATTTCAAATTGCAATTGCACCCAAATACAGACTCCTCTCGATTATTGTCCCGAATTCAAATCCGCATCGCGACAATAATCTTAAATGAAGAAATGCTTCAGACCCTCGTAAATTCGTTTTTTTCCCGATGTCTGAGCCTCGGCAAAAAAAGCGGAAGGGCAACGTATGCGTTTGACAGGTTTCACACTCCCCTCCCCAGTGGTGGGGATAACGCCTGGACAATAATCGTGTAGAACAAGCCAGACGATAATCGAGAGGAGTCTGTAGCATGCACCAGAGACGCACCAGAAAATGTCACCCTGTGTGTTCGCATACTCTACTCGTTATCCCCCCCCCCCCCCCACGCCCAATTCAGACACACGGATCGAGCACATCTCCATCGTTCGTCATTTTACGTATCTCTGTCTCTCGCTCTCTCTCTTTCTCTGTTTTATTTTTCTTTTGTTCACCATTTACTCCCCTTTGTTTGTTGTGAACGTTGTGTTGACTTGGTTGTTCTCTTTTTTTTTTTTTGGTTTTGTTGTTGCGTTGGTGTTGTGTGTGAAGCCGGCGCCTGAACAGCAGAGGCTAGACGATGCCATCGGCTTCCTTCGCGACCACGCCGAGGTGAGGACCGCCGATTTTCAGTTTTTTTTCTCTCTCTCTCTTTTTCTCTCTTTTTCTGTCATCCCTTCTATTGTTCGTTCCTGGTTTTCACTATGTCCCGTTCGCCCACTCATCTTGTAACACCATACTCTGTGCATGAAGCTCTCACCCGACCGTCGATTTCTGTGTATACACTAACGATCGAGTTCTCGCCAGAGATCAACAACGCGCGGTGTACACCTTTCCTCGATCCTTTCACTCGTAACTTCACACCATTGCTGATTAATTTCATCCACGACTTCGCATGACCCTTGAATCTGCGGAAACTGCCTTTTTGGAAAGTTATTGGTGTAACGATGTACAGTAAATCCACGATAAGTGTTCGAAGGATCCTCGGCACTGAACATAAACTAATGACCATATGTGACTGAAACAAATATCATTGACTTCAGAATTTCAAACTCTATTACTGTGTTGAATTTCACTAAAAAAAAAATCAGAGTTACAATTCTCCTTGTCAGTGCCGAGGAGCCTTCGAACACTCGTCGAGGATTTACTGTATTTGAAGCTGAAGCGTTGATCTTTAGGCAACGTATAAATATTTAAGGATCTGGGCTCATCGACAACCATGTCTGTACAGTTAACAAAAAAATCTACAGATCTTCCTTTCTGTTATTATAAATAGTACTAGTTTCAATGTTAAAAAGAATGTTCGAATACTCCGAGAGTATTGTGAACCTGATACTCTCGCTTAATTTCGCGAGATTGGATAAGTTCCTAGGTTGAAATATTGAATAATGTTCCGCTAAATCCCAATAAGAATTAAAGTACTCCGAGAAGGAAGTATATCGTTCTAAAACAATAGGACCAGAGTCTGCAGTTCAAGGTTTACCAAGCATGTTGCAATCCTCTTCCCATCATCATTTCTATATGTTCCATATCATTTCTTCGACACACTGATCACTCGACTCTCTCCATTTCTATACACGCTTCTCCATCGCTTCAACGATATATCTAAAACTATTCCACCAGTGTCGAAGATACTCTGTATCGAGTTTTCGGCTTAAATCTTCGACTCTGGTGATCCTGGATATCAGTCCCGATATTGGTGTGTAATCGAGTCGAACGTCCGGTATTCTGTTGGTACAGGGAACGCGGATGGAGGAACGACTGGACGATGCCATAAACGTTCTGAGGAACCACGCGGAGAGCCAGCTGGGCCTACATCTCGGTCCCGTTGGTCCACACGGTTCCATCTACTCCCACACATCACCACCGCAGTTGGACCATTTGGTGGGTACCTTGTCTTTTTTGGTCCAAGGCTCTCGAAGGAATGTGTGCTAATTGATTATTTTTTGTTGTTAATTGCAGACGAGTCCACATCCTGCGGTCACAGTGACGCAACCCCAGGGTTCCTACCCTGGTCTCACCCCCACGCCCGACACAGACGGTTCCATAAAAATCGAAAGGTTACCTGTAACAAATGCCAGTAAGTTGAAACGATCCTTTTCCACGGTGTAATTGCTAACGACAGGTTCATGGAATAGGGGACGCTTTGGTGAACGTTGAATCTTTAGGGAAATTTCAGGATTGTATTGTATTGGAATGTTAGTTACTGATTCCAATGGGATTTAATGGATATACAACTCCTCGGTTGTTTTACACGTTGTCGAAAATCTGGGGTGCCAACGTGTTAGAGGTAGGCCAATGATTATGGTATGGCAATCTGTTTTCTGATGTGAGTAACTTCTTTCTATGTGGATGCATAGAGGTCGTATCAAGGTCATTTTTTAAATATGGTATCGTATACTTTTTAATGCATTAATTCGCCATAAGTGACTTAGTAATTTATATAGAGAATAACGGATATCATCAAGTAGTGCGTAAAAAAATATACGATTCCATTTTTAAAAAACCAGAGTTAACCTTCATATGACCTCTAGGCGCTTACATAGAAAAAAGTTACATCAGAAAGTGTGCTATCTGACACCATGTAACTGTCGTCTGAAACATTTTTTAATGTCATCAATATTCGAATGAGTCGATTCAAATGGACAAGTGATGTTAAAATGAATAAAAAATCTCAAACAATCATACAAAAAGTCACAAAAAGTACTCATTCTCAGACAGACAAATCATAATCCATAATCTACTTTCATAAGGGAATTCCTACAATAATACACGCCCCCAAAATAATTCCAAAGAACCGCAAAGCGCGCGATTAAAAGATCGAGACGCCAGTAAGTCTCGAAAGACAAGTGTCAATGAGCTCCGACAATAGGCCGCGGCGCGTGTAGCCGTTTCTATTCTCGGTGTCGCATCATCGGGCAAGCACTTTTTCCCATGAGTGGCTAGCGACCGCGCGCGCACAGCACCAGGGTGAAAAAAAAACGAGCGGGAGAAGGAGTTCCCAGGTGTTCCGTGGCCGGAGTTGGAGCCCGATAAGGAAACATTAGATAAATCACGCGGAGTAGCTACTATTCCCGCATCGTTGTCGTGCCTTTATTATTCTCCGAGAGACCTCTTGTCTCCGTTCCTTCCCTCCCTCCCTCCCTTTCTCCCACGATATTCTGTCACGCTTCCTCCGTACCCTCGTCGATCCTTCTCCTTCTGTACCGTCGGTGGCCTAATGGAATGCGCAAGTTTTCCGAGGGCAGTTCGCCGAAGAAGAAGCGCGCTCTTCTCTCTCCCGTTCGCCGACCATTTTTGGCGCGCGGAATTCAGACCGCTAGCAGCTCCCCCAACCGCCCGTCTGAGGCCGCGCCGCCATCTTGGAACGCCATATTGGCGATAGTCGATCCAATTACTTATGTTCCTCGTCTCTCTCTGTTCCACGGTGTTTTTTTTTCACCCGTTCTCTTTCCTCCCCCGTCGTCGACCAATGCAAAAAACACCGATAGCCAAGTTCCAGTTGTTGAATGGAACAAAAAAAAAAAAAAAAAAAAAAAAAAAAAAAGTAAAAGGGAAAAAACCGATAGAACGAATTCCGTCCGCGGACTTTTGCACACAATCGGGGTCTTGATTTATCGGGTTTCCAATGAAACGCGCGGGCAACAACGGTTTAATGCATTCGCGAAACTCTTGAATTGTCAAGCCAGATGAACGTTTATGGGGAGCAGGCTGAATCAGAGTATCTCGAAACGCTTCCTGTTCGTAATTGGACGCTTTTCATGGTTTCGTGACTAAGCGGCCCAAAGCACGAGGATAATACCGGTCGGATCGCGATCCGACGGTGGTCGGTGAAGGTCGCCGCTGGTGCTTCCGGGGTACGGATTCAGCCGTGTTTCTTTTTCTTGACTGGGAATTAATGATCGTTTGTTGAAACGGTCTGAAACGTTTTCTTTACTTGGTCTCTTGGGAATGGACGAATCGAGGAGGGTGGGTTTGAAGGTTCACGTGGATCGAGTCGCTGGTGTCGAGGCTTCTGAATGTAAATAATTGCATTGTGAAATATTGATTGTAATCCTCTGGATGAGTAGAATTGTTGTCTGGATAAATAATTGGATGAATTATCCTTAGTTGTAATATCAGTCAGTGACGTGATTCTTTGATAGAATATTATTAGGTTAACACAAATTTACATTTAACATGACGCTCTAATTTCTAAGCTACTTTATTCGATAAAGGCAGAATCTATTTTACTGTGTTTCGTATATTTTTAATATCCAATCAAGAAGACAAAAATATTCCAGTGAAGGAAACGATGGAGACGTAAATATAGAGTGGTATTTGACGTACGTTTTCGAAACCATATACATGATGGTAGCGAACGTGTTAAATAATAATGATCATAACAGTATTTAAATTAAATTGCAATTAGTTATATAGTGATGGAACACGCGTAATAGATTAATGTTAATTGTAGAGTGTCTCGACATAACTTTATGAAAGGGGAAACTGACATTATTTATAATCCAATCCAATATTTCGTGTTCATGGATGATGTACGTTTTGAATATAATTCCTAGTGACACGTCAATGCACGAACAACCTTTGATGGAACTAGGTGAAGCATCATCGAATATATTCTAGAAGACATTCCAATGAAACGATAAAATTACTATGTAAGTTCATTGATCATTAACAGGAGTCAAAGAATCTTGATCTCAGCGTCTCTCTGTTTCATGAACATTGTCCACGATCTATCAACGTCTGTAATGTGTGATTAACGACAGTATTAATAATGAACAGAATACGTCTCTTTAGAAAAGAGAAAGGACCCTCCGGATAGTAGCGGTGGCGAGACGAAACCGTCGAGCAGCGATCTGGCGGCAGCGGGTGTGATCGGCGCGGCCACGGTTAACTCGACGTCTCAGGGAAAGGGGACGAAGAGATCGCGCAGATAGTAAGTATATCCTGGGTGTGTATCCTTGTGTCTGGGATCGAGGGCGCGTCAATGACGACCGTGAGGTGACAGTAGTGAAACCGAATTGAAATAGAAATCGAGTAAACATTTCTTAGACGAGTAATCGAAAAGTAAAAATTTCACATAGACGCGTCGCTGCCTCGAATACCATTCTTATTCCTTTAACATAAAAATATTGTTTTTATTTACCTATCCATGCTGTCTGGAGATTTACCCTTAGACCTTCAGTATAAAAATATCGTTTCATTTAACTATCATGCTGTCTGGAGATTCACCCTTCGTTGCCATGCAGCTGCAGAAAGAATAAAAGATTGAGGTTATGTTTTCATTTTAAGCAAAGGGATATCCTGCCTAATCTGTAACACCGTCTTTTGAGCTTAATTTTTGAATTTTAAATTCATTAAAAGTCACTCGGCTAGTCTATTAAAATTTTACATGAAGTCGATTACTACCGAAATGATTAATAAAAACTACAGAGTGCAATATTTTGTGATACGGTGAAATGTAAATATACCAGTAGAAACTTGTTTATTGTTTTTAGAGAATGTAATACATTTAAAGAAATCATACATCGCCACTTTTCAAAATTAGAACTTTTCAAATCTAATTCGAGACGGTAACGCGCACAAGGGTTGTTTCACCCTAATCACGGCCGGAAATGTCTCCCCTTTTTCCGCTCGTCGCGTGTCACACAGAATTCAACTAATTGATTGCATTTAAACAACCGTTGTTCGAGCGCTGATGAAGATTGTGACGATCCCAGCACCAAAGCGGTGCGCGAGAAGGAACGTCGCCAGGCCAACAACGTGCGTGAAAGGTTAGTGAACACACGCAGTACGCACCACCCGTTATAACTCTCTCAAGTCCTTCGTGATCCTTCCAAGGGCATCGTATATATGTATACATAAATATACATACATATATTCTGTGTCCTAATCGTTTGCATGCCTGACAAAAATCACCATCTAAAGAACAAAGAAATAAAAATGGAAAAAGAAAAAAACAAAGTAACACGAACACGCGATGTATCGAAAGAACTTGTTTGTTTCTCGAACTATTTGGCATGTTTACGGTCCTCCTCAACCACGAGGCCCGTATTCCGGCGTGACAATTAAAATGCGTCTGGTTAAGGGCAGAAATGATACGAGACCAGTTCATCAATCAGTCTCATTTTAATTTGGCCAACCCCCACCTTCCCCCAAAAAAGGCATGTTCTATCCCCTTTATTTTTTTACAAGCACCTACATATCTACGCTCTGCATCACTCTGATCGTGTTGTTGCTAGAGTTTTACTTTCTTTAGAAATCATCTGAAAACCATTCCTCCTTTTTTAGACTCCTGTCAAAATCATCCCCCCACGATCACCACCCATTTGCAATTGTTTCTTGGATAAAACCTAGTGGTGATTCCGTCTTTCTCTCTCTCTCTCTGTACGCATAATGAAGATTTACTTTCAGACTCGACCACTCGAAGGACTTTTCCTCCCCATCCAAGTGTCCGTTCCCTCCAATTATGCATATTACCCCTCCCTTCCGAAGAATTCTCAATTTTCTAGGTAAACAGCACGAAATTCAGCTCCGAATGATAATATCACGATTGTCTTTCTGTCGTTTAACACATCATCGCCGATTTTTGGTCTCTGTGCAAAAAGAATACGGGCCCTCGAGTATGGAAACCTGATTTCTGTCCATAACCACGATCAGATCTGCGTGTGTTCAATCGATTAAGATATAGAGAAATATCGTAAGAGAGTCTGAACGAGGATTTTTCTCGGACCGATTGTTGTCCGTTTCGAAGCATCAGAATTTACCTTTTTTTTTTTTTTTTGATCGATCGATCGAAAAAAAAAATAAATGGAAAAAAATATATCGTCGGTTTCACTGCTGTCGCGGAGTCCTCGATCTAGGACGATCGAGCACACCGTCCGCCTATACGTCAGGTGTTTAATCGAGTGTTGTTATTGCGCAACTGTTGTTCGAGCGCCGAGGACGAGGATGACGATCCCGACGTTAAGGCGCAAAGGGAGAAAGAGAGGCGGCAGGCGAACAATGCTAGGGAAAGGTAAGAAATGTCGAACGAAAGCGGCGCAGTGGAATCGTTTGAGTCACCTGTTCAACAAACGATTCGAGGACCATCGCTCGGCCCGTATTCTATGTGTACATGACAAAGAGGTGCTCGCTGACTCGGCTTGGATCGATCCTGCGAACGATCGGACTCTCGTGCTATTATTTCGTAGAAGTTTTTGTGATCCTCGTTGCCTCCTCTTGGAGTATCGAAATTGCAAAAGGATTTCCATATCTTCCAAATATTTCAATCTTTTGAAGCAATCGTCAGGAATAGAGACTTCAAAAGCTCTTTAGGTGCTCCCAATTAAACAGAAATGCTCATGTTCCGAATTGTAACATTTTATTTTGGATAATACAAAGTGAAACTGATGCAGTTTATTTTAGTAATTTTCGAAGTTAGCTAATTTGTTCGGGTAGTAGCTGTGTCAGAAAGATAGTGGAAACCTTCTGCAACAGAGATACTTCGGTGGTCATTTTGTGGAAAGCAATACAGAAGTGCCTCGTTAATTGGTTCAATATCGGTTCACTTCGAAACAAATCACCATATTTTTTTCTCAATCCTATTCCTGGAAGTTCAGACAAAAAGAAAACGATCGAGATGGTTCTTTCTCGCTTCTTCATACCAACCCAATCAACGAGGCATTACTGTACTCCGAGAATCATCCGCCCCCCAAACAAGTTTCTAGCTTCGAGACAAGTTTGCTTTCCTCCGATCTCCGCCTTCCCATTCCTCGATGGTAATCGAATCGACAATTCTTAAGCGAGATTTGTCTTCTCAGGATACGTATTAGGGACATCAACGAGGCCTTGAAGGAACTCGGCAGAATGTGCATGACGCACCTGAAGACGGACAAACCTCAGACGAAGCTAGGCATCCTGAACATGGCTGTCGAAGTGATCATGACGCTGGAACAGCAAGTTAGGGGTATGCATTTGAATAATTTCCCAACGATTTAATTCAGCAGCTGTCGCGAAACGGGTGATTTAAACGTTTGGCGTCCCTCTTTGCAGAACGAAATCTAAATCCAAAGGCTGCGTGCTTGAAGAGGAGAGAGGAGGAGAAAGCGGAGGATGGACCGAAACTACCCGGCCATCTCGCCGCGCACATAGCTCACCCGCACCCTCACCCGCACGCGCATTCTCAGCCACCCTTTTCCGCGATGCCTGTAAGTATAGTGTCTTAATGAGACAAATATGATCCGGAGCCTTATCATCTGGTTGTTCAATGTCACTTAGTCAATTTTAATGTACATTGTTCTCCAAAAATTGAGGTTAACTTTCTTGGACTGAACCCTCTTGCATATTTATTAGAATGTAAAACTAGAGAATCTTTTTAGAATAATAATGGATTAAGTCTCGTAATGGGACAAATATGGTCCGGTGCATTATCATGTGGTTGTTCAATGTCACTTACTCAGTCAATTTTAATGTACATTGTTCTACAAAAATTGAGGTTAACTTTTTTGAACTGGATCCCCTTGAATATGTATCTAAAGAAACCAGTAGTTACTTTCTCCGCACAGAGTACTAATAACTTAATAAATGCACACAATACTATTTTTTTAAAATAACCATTCTGTACCAAACATTAACGCCCAAATAATTTGGAGGTTATGGCCTCCATGAGTCGACCTTGAATAACCAAGTAGCTTGATCCTTACCTAAGCAATCATACGCCAGAAATGTTCACTAACGTTAAAAATATCACATGTTCCAGGGCCCTCCCCCTTCCCTTCAGCACAATCCATCGCAGCCCCAGTAGCAGCGGCTCAGCGGCGGTGTGATCCTGTGTTAAAGGGGTAGATACAGCTTAAACTTATCACGGTTTCGGGGCAGTTGGCGTGCATACAGAGAGGACTGTTTCCCCCCTCAACCCGGAGTGTGTGCCCGTTGTACGAACCCGAGCAAAATTGAGGGTATTACGTGGGGACGGGAGTCGCCGGTGTACTCTTCGAACGTAACCATTTTACGTTTCTCCCCCCTCCCTTTTCCCTCCCTGAAGAGGCAGTGCGCGAAGAGAAGACGCTTGGGTAACACTGCTCGAGAGATCGAGCAGCGCCGTGAGAATACATTGCGCTTGTTTTTCTAGCGCAGAACAATGTACGAATACTATATCCAAGCGCGCGAGTACATACACCCCTCGGTAATATCCATGGTTTTCCCAAGAAGAGACTCTCATACACGCGCACACCACCACGACAACGACGACGACAACAACCCAAAGGGAAAATTGTTTTCTGTATGCCGTATATGCGAGCATATCCAATCGTGAGAGAAAGAGAGAAAGCATGTGTGAGTGCGTGCGAGGGAAACGAAACAAGAGAGAGAGAGAGAGAGTCTGTGTGTGTAAGTTACTTTTTAAGAGGCATCTACCCCCCTCACCCCCTGCGAAGGCGGCTTGAAATTATTTTTATAAATAGCGAGAAGACAAAGGAGTATGGTTCCTCTCTTTCGAGATGTAAGAAGCGTGTAGTGCGATCGAAGATTTTATTCGAAACGATCGATCCCCGCTACCCCATATCTCCCCCCCCAAAAAAACCACCCACTTACCCAACCATCCCCTCTGCGATTCTCTTGTTCGAAAATCGCCCACCATTTGTTTGTATATGTGTGCATGTGTGTGTGTGTGTGTGTGTGTGTGTGTGTACGCAAGAAATGCCGTCGCGTTACGTTGTACCGCCGCAATATATGGATATTGGGAGATTGAGAGGGTGAGAGAGCGAGCTCTAGACACGACGAGAGAATCAACGTAGAAACCGATCGCCGAGGACGTTCGCGTACAAAAGTGTCGGTATTTCAGGGGATCTTGGAAGGTTCCTTGTTTCGACGGATCGACATGTGGGGGATGGGTGGGTGAGATGATTCTCGTTCGGTCGAAGGAGATCGAGCGTTTCCGTCGTTCGTCGCCGGTGTACATATGTATCGATCGGGAACCCCCACCCCCTCCCCGGGCCTGTGTATCGGCGATCCAGCGATCCTCCTCGGCGGACGGCGGCGACAAAATTGTACATAGGAAGAGAGAGAGAGAGAGACACACGACCGTTGTTTCCGCGAGGGCGTTCAGGAATGAATCGTTGCATGCGAGGACGCCGGTGGAGTTTTCGGTTCGGGGCTCTGCTGCTGCTAGCTTCATTCATTTATTAGTTCTTTTGTTTTCTGTACTTACACGTACGACGGAGGATCAACGGAGGGATCGACGCGCTCCCCCTCCTCCCCCCTACCGAGATCTCAACGGGAATAGGGGAGAGTTCGACGTGTTGTTCGAAGAACACGATCGAATCTTTTGCCTGTTTTTTTTTCTCTGTTTCTTTCCTCCCCTCCCAACCCCCGTTTGTATCACGACGGTTGGTTCAACGATTCGGAATTTCCCCGAGATTAGGCGAGAATGGAGAGAGAGAGAGAGAAAAAGTACTAGTGCAAGAATCACGCAAAAAAAGCAGTATAATCGTTATATGTGAATACGATAGGGGCGGGGGAAGGGGGGATAAGGGAGGGATGTTGGAGATAGCGAATCACCCCATCGAATAAACGGAGAGATGAAAGAAAGGAATAAGAGTTCAAACATATCTCACGCATAATTGTATATATACAGCAGTGGCGTGTACGCCTAACCAATTACCTTATTACGATTATTATTATTATTACTATTATTATATTATCATTATTGCGATGGTTATCATTATTATTGTCACGATCATGATTTTATTATTATTATTATTAATTAATTATTATTATTAATTATTATTATTATTACTACCGATTAATGATCGCCGAGGAGATCCTTCGTGAGAGAGATAGAGAGAGAGAGAGAGAGAGAGAGTGTGTGTGTGTGTGTGAGAGAGAGAGAGAGAGTGAGAGAGAAAAAAAGGGGACATTTTTGTTTTTGAACAAAAATATAGCTCAACTCAATGTGTACCCAGTTGCCATGTATTTTAATTTATTTAGACTCGTAAATAAATTTTATTGAATAAAACAGGAAGGGAAAGGCGGGTGGATTCGAAAGAAGACGAAACAATAACAAGAAGAGAAGTAAAACAATCGACAGAGGCTATCCACACGCGTGCATGTGTGTGTGTGTGTGTGTGTCTGTGTGTGTGTGTGTGTGTGTGAGCGCGTCTCTCTCGAGTGGCCGTGTTTTGTCGTCCGTGTTCACTCTTTTCTCCGTGACGCTCTTTCCGTTCTCTTGTTCTCTCTGTTATGGGTTTTCTTTTCCGTTCTCCGCACTCAGTCTTGGTTTCCATTATCATCATCATCATCCCCCCTCCCCCTAAGCGATGTGTCATCGTGATCATTGCCTCTCCTCGACATATCACAGCTATATTTTTCTTCAAAAGCATACATGGTGTATCTACGGTCCTGGAAAACGCAAAAAAAAAGAAAACAATACCGAAAGAAAAGGAGGGATACACACACATACACACAGATACACAGAATGATGAAAGTCCTCGCTCTCTGTGTAACTTTCGTGTTCCTCTCTCGCTGCTGTTTATAACAAAAATCCGCCGAACGAGAACCGATCGTCGTTTATTCGTCCGCCTTATCTGTTCTCTTTGCTTGTTCCGTTTGTTGACCGTTCATTTGCGAACCGTGAAAGCGTGTGTAGGAAAACAGATATCCTCTCCTCTCCTAAAAGAGACTATGGTTCCGCCGTGACTCGTCTCGACAAACATTTAAAGAGAACAAGAAGAATACAATAAATCCTCGATGAGTATTCGAAGGCTTCTCAAGCACTGAACATTAAATGTTTCATAAACTAATGGTTGTATGCGGCTGAAACAAATATCATTGGCTTCAGAATTCCACGCTCTATCATTATGCTGAACCTAATTAAAAAGCCTGCGTTACACCTGTGAACCTAGTGGAAGAGCCTTCGAACACTCATCGATGATTTACTGTACCTTCACGAGCAAACTCGGCCTCCACTAGTGGCAAAAATAACGTAGGGGAAGGGTCTACCATTTGGTATCGGGAACTATTTATATGTATGCCAAATTAACATTTATTTCCTTGCTTGAAATAAATTTATCAACTGGTAAAAGGCCCTTCCCTCACAACACTTTCTCCCCTAGCGGTGTAGGGAATTAAGAATTACTAAATTTTATGCCAAACTAACATTCGACTTAACATTTGTTTCAGTACCTGAAATAAATTTACCAACTGGTAGGAGGCTCTTCCTTTACGTCACTTTTTCCCCTAGCCTAGTTTGCTCGTTAGGGTACGATTCTCCGAGCTCGATCCCAAGATGTCGTCCAAGAGACTACGCAAAAGCACACACGAACACGGACTCGTTAAAAATTCTCGGTCCAGGAGATACTTTGGCCGGAACCTCGGTCGAGATTAAACTCGCACAACCTCGCTTTAATTTTTAATCCGATCGATCGCCGGAATCGCGACGAATACCCTCGAGAAAGCAAGGAAATTAAATTCAGGCGATTAATCGGAGACAGGAGGGATCTATCGATCGTTAACGGTGAACCTGCGATCACAGATGGTCAGCCGGCGATTCTCGGAAGATACAGACACGAGAGACAGACACACACACATACACGGGATGACACACATAAACACACGCACTTATATTCGCGATGGTAATCATGTAAAATAATAACGACAATAAATAGCTCGTAAGCCCGTCTAAGCTAGGCACACCTGTCGATAGTCTTAGATAGTCAAAGTGGAAAGGCGAAAGGTGAGAGGAGAGTGCTCGGTTCGAGTCGAGAGAGAGAGAGAGAGAGAGAAAGAGAGATGATCGGAAAAGGTCTCTTGGCGCTGATTTTCCAAGCGCAGGTTTTCGATCCACGCGATTTCTCGATCACGTTTTCAGCCGTGCACGGGTTCGTTCTTTGGTTTCACTTCTCTCTTTCTTTCTTCTATATTCTTTTTCAACAATCTTCGGACGTGCATACGTAGTTCTGTTTCGTCTAGGCGTTCCCCTTTTGGGTGAGCTCGATTGAACGTGTACAGGATGTTTCATGCGAATACTTTCCATATTTTTGAATCTAGACATTGCTGTAAAAATAATTCTGATGAAAATTATGGTATTTCGATCGAGATATTTAGATCACACTCCGGTGGACTTGTCTCTGAAATATGGTCAGATTGACGTTTTTAACCGTTGGAGCGCCAAGGAACGATATATCACTTCTCTATGTACATTGAAAGAATGGCAAGATCAGATATATTGTTTCTTGGTATTAATATTTTTTTTATGTTAATAACTTCTGTTTGTACAAATTCTTAAGATTAGCTTTGACTTAGAAATAAACGTAACGAAGCGTGTTGTTAATATTGAATAGAAATTTTGTTAAGATTTTTTAAAAATTGACGCTTCTCGCATGGAATTTACATTTTATTTAATAACCCGGATCAGTGAATTCATCTATTGAAAAAGTAGATGATTGCGTTTAAAAAAGACAAAATGAACCTGACCTCGGAAATAAGTTCACCCGAGACAAGGTCAGACTGACTGATATCTTCCTCGAAATAATAGTTTACATGACGTTCTGTATATGCTAAGGTGATCAGACGTCGCTCATTAGGCGGGATTAAAAACTGCCTGGACGTAACTTTTTTTAACATTTCTTCAGTGGCACAAAGTTACTGTTTCCCCTATTCCATACTGGATAGCGTAATTAAGTGGCAACAAATGTTTCTACACTAGACGTAATAAATTACCTAAATTGGTGCTTTCAAAAATGTGTGACCTTTTTTTTTTCTTTTTTTTTTTGGACATGTCCCGTATTGCAACATAAAACATCTGGTCGCCTTAATATATGCAAAAGTTCCTTATATGAAAGTTGCACATTACACAAAAACGTATATACATATATCTGGAGTCCAGAGCCAGAGTGTATTAAGTCACACATTTCAAACTTTAGAGGAGATTAAATGAAAGGTACAAAAACCTTGTAACTTTACAATCGACATTAATTCCTCTGTGTGATGAACTTTACATTGTTTTAGAAATATGAACTTACTATCGTGTTTACACTATTATGTACTTAAATTAAAAACTAAACGCCCTGTCAGGGAAACCTGCAAAGCCAAATTTTGTCCAATGCCTGTTATAATACTAAATTTATAACATATTAAAATTTTTATTAATTATTTTTTAACAATTCTGTAATTAATATATATATATTTTATTTAAATATTAGAGTTTTGCCCTCAATTTGACATAGGTCATGTTGCAAGACTTTCTGCCAATTTACCATTTTGTCAGCCGGCGTTGCCTACAAAACCCAAATTAAATGCGGAACCATTTTTCAGACCACTTTTGCCATTTATTGCTGGCAATTTGCTCGAAACTTGTTACCAGGGTGATTTAAAACAAAATAATTTTACCATCGGAAAGACTGGAATATTTAATGCAGAAATCATGTAAAATGTAATTTTTTTAAAAGTGGATTTAACACACTACGGCTCTGGTGTCCTAGATATACATTTCCAGGTGTGCTTAAGTAGTTAATTTGTGGAACGCACCGATAAAAAAATCCTCCTCCTCGTTTGGCCGTGACACGATTGTCGACGAGATGCGAAATCGCGTGTGTACATTAGGAACTACTGACATTATTGTATAATATGTAATTAAAGAGGAAGAAAGGGGGTTCGCGTGACGTCACGGCCGCCCCTGCCCCCTCCGCCCCCTTCGGAGGATTCACGGGACAGAGATATGATTTTCGACACGCTGGACAGTGGTACAAAACACTGATTTAGGAGTTCAGAAGCTTAATTTGAGTGTAAAAACTTGGTAAGCATATATTTAATGTTCATATTTATTAAAAACATACAAAATTAATAAGTAATAAAAACTTCTTTTTTTTTTACGGAGTACAAGTTCCCTTAAAAAAAATTATTATTAAAAAACATTACGTATTAATTTTACATTTCTGTTAATAAATATGAACGTTATATATATGCTTACAAAGTTTCGTTCCGAAATTCCCATTTTCACATCCAGATTAAGCTTCTGAACTCCTAAATCGGCGTTCTGTACCACTGTGGCGATTGTTGAACCGGGAACAGTTGCGATTCTACGAACATCGATGAAGCACGAGCTGAATTAATTATTGCATATATCGAACGGGAGATAGAGAGAATGCTTGTAAGAAAGAGCGCCCGAGATGGAGAGCGTGCGTGCGTTTTCGTTTGAGAAAGAAAAAAAAAACTGTATAATTATCGGTAGTAATATTATTATCACTAATAATATAATAAATGTGCCATTTTTTCCATATATCACGGTGCCTCCGGCCTCTGTTCTCTCGGGATTCGTTCATCGATATTCAGGGCTTTTCGTTCGCGTTGTTTTGCTTTTTTTTTTCTTTCTCACTCGAGCTTCCCTTTCTTTTTTGTATATTGTACGGATCCTCCCAGCCCCAACTTCTCCCCCACTGTTTTCGTTTCTTTTCTTTCTGTTTTCTTTCACGTTTTTCGTTACTTAGCCGCCTAATTATTGCGTAGATACGAGCATATACATAGTGTAGATACCGTTTAGTGGATAAGATGTGTAATACCTTTCTCGGATCACTCAGCGAGCACCGCCGAGCGGGAAAATGGTGTACCCCGCCGGTTCACCTTTTCCGGGGGAATTCATTCAGCTGTAAAGCAATCTACAAATGTCGTCGAACGATGGATGTTTGTAATACAGAATTTTCAACGTTTTCAGGAACGCCAACGGTCTCTATGATTTCTCTGTTCTTTCTTTCCGCGCCTGTCGAACGTGGTGGTCGATCGGTGGGCCGCTTAGGTGACAAGTGGAAGAAAAAGTTTCTTTCTTCTTTTAATTAATTTACTTCGCTTCTGACAAGTGCACAGTAACTATCAGGTATCTGTTAAATTCTTATTTTTATACGGTAATTTATAAAGAGTTAAAAAAATAATATAGAAAGTTTATTAGTTTGCATCGTAGTTTATAGAATTTTACAGTGCTGAAATAGGGGTAGTTTGATCGTTATAGATCATGATTTTGAGTGGAAACGGTTGTGTATATTGATTTGAAAAATAGTAGGTTTTTTTTTTAATTTTAGTTTGTTAGAAACTCCTGTTTCGAACTTTTTGGTTTTTCGACACTTGTCAGCTAAGGGGCTCAAACTCATGTTGCTCAAAACAATGCAAAGGGGTTGAAAAATATATTTCTCTCTGATAAATCTCTTGCTGGCTGTGTGAATGAATCGATACCTTTGAGTAATTTCTCAGTTTAATAACAATATTTGGAACATTTTTTGACAGTTGGCAGTACGAACCTTCTTTAAATGACATTCAAACATTAGAAACATGGTGTTACTGTGACTACTAGTGCAGTTTTTTATCGTGAGTAATAATAATGTTAATGTACAAAATAATGTTTTTAAAAATATGTTAAATAGTCTTAAAATGATTGTTTCTTGATTTAATGAAAAAAACATTTTTTTTTCAAGATACCAAAAACATGCAGTGAGCGGGTTAAATAAGTAGTTCAATTTAAAAAAAAAAAAAGTGTTAGTCTCTTCAAATTGTTTGCTTAACAGTATAAGAACTAGTAAAGAAATTCAATTTTGCATCGGTGGTCCAATTTCTATACAATTCATAGAGGTGATATACCGATTGTGGATGTTAATAAATTCTTTTTTTCTCAAAAACCCGTATTGGCACAATTCAGCAGTCAGTCAGTAGCCTATTACGTCGATCGCCCGCTGGTTTTCGAGCAGCATGCGTCGACGAGCGTTCGTTGAATCCACCTTTTGCCCGGTCTCTTCCCATTCACATCGACGGATCGCGCAATACTGGCTCCGCGTAGGTTCAACGTTCTCACGGCTCGATTAGGAAATCGCATTGCATATCCACACGATCGTCTGATTTCGACTTTTGACCCCGTCCGGGTGCTTGCGTCAAGCAAAGCCGTGTGCGTTTCCGTTCTGTGTCGGAATAATTTCACGAGGAACTGTACGAATGAAAGGAAATTAGTATCAGGGAATTCTGCCAGAAAGGAAATTGAATCGAGAGACGAAAGTTTCATCGACATAGTTTTAATGGATATTATTGTTCCACGTACAAAACGGTACAATTTAAAAAAAAAGAAAATAAAAGGACGTCACTCGATCGACGTCCTCCAATCGATCCCACGAGAATCGACCTATCAGAGTCTGTCATGTTAATGCACACGTGTCCCCATTCAGAGAGTCATCCTTCGGTAATAACTTCCGAAATAAGCCGCCAGACACGACATTCAACGTCCAAGAAACCATTCCTTTTTCGTGAACTTGTACGTTGACGGAAGGACACGCCTGAACGTTCATTTCGTATACGCTCGATCGTTAAGTGGGACCTGAATCAATATTGGCCGCAGGTGAAACAGTAAATTACACGATTATTTCAACGGAATCAGTTGAAATCCAATTGATCTAGCCTTCTCTCCGTGTCATTTCTGAAAAACGATCATCGAATACCAACGACGTACGCCATAAACATCATGCCCAAGCATGTGATTTCCACGAAAAGTAAATACTGAGTTTGCCAGAAAAAAGAATAAACAAAATAATAGATCGTTCGTCCGTCCAGTACACCGAACACAGAAATCACTTCGACACTATCACTCGAACCCCGTGCCTCGTCCGGTACAAGAAACACAAGGAAGGACCTAACCCAGATCCCCTAATCACGGCCTTCCAGCAGTTCTCCAGTTCACCCAGAAAGTCACCCAACTTGTACTCAACACAATCACAAGACAGTCGTTTGTACTCTGTCCCGCAGTTACGTTCAAGCCGCGGACAGCTTCCTCTTGAGGGTGAAATAAGCGGCGAACCTGAAGACGAAGTAGTTGCAGAGCAACAGAACGATATCCATCCAGTATCTTCCCTCCAGCATCGAAAACTCGGTCATGATCATTTCTGGCATCCTGTAGTGGCAATAATTCCTGTAACAGTCCAGCTTTTCCCGATTGAAACCGTACATCGCGTGCACGAACCCGTGCATAGAGTACTTCAGGTAGCTCAGGTAGCTGAGGTAATACAGTGCGATGGGCATGTGAGCGAACAAGGCCAGAAAACCAGCCAGAGCGAGCATACCGCAGACTATAATCGCTGCGCAGAACGTCCCATTGATAGGGTTCATTAGTGTCCCAACCAGCGTGCCGAAGCTGTCGGCGTTCATCGTTGTAAGGATCGCCACCACCATGAACATCACGAAACGGTTCACGTCCATCGGTTGATGGCTGAGAAAATACGACGGTGAACTGTACGCGACAGCGAACACCATCTGCATTGGAAGGGTGCAGACGATCGTCGCAGCATAGTACGTTCTAAGCCGGTACCAGTTATTGAACCGTTCCTTCTTCAGCGTCTGCAACTCTGACGGGAACTTGAGGACCGCCGGCATCATGCTGGTGTAACAGAGGTACACCGAGGTGACCAATAAAAATCCCATATTGTTCAGAGTCTTGCTTCCGTTCGAGCCAGAATCGGTGAACAACAGACCCAAAAGAATGCCCACGAAAAGATGAAGCCCGATCTTCAGGTGCGTCATCGTCCAGTCACGGTACAGCTGGGTGATGCAACGTTGTACCAGCACGAAGAACTTGTCCATCTCGGACGGCATCTGGACCAGCACCGTAGCTTTGTCCACGTTCCTCCTGTGATCGTTGGACTGTTCCTCGGTTTTGGTCGTCGATCGCCAGGACCCTTTAGCGGTGTCGGCTACCTTGATCAGCTGATCGGTGTAGTCGCCGTACTCGCAGCTGACCACCTCGATCATGTAGTCGGCTGGATTGTGATACTTTGGGCACTGCAGTCCGATGCTGGCGAAGTAGGCGACCGTGTCCTTCGTCGCGCCATCGTACATGCACCTGCCATCGGCCAGAAGATAAACGTTGTCGAACATCTCATAGATCGCAGCACTTGGTTGATGGATCGTGCAGACGATCGTTCTGCCGGCCTTCGCCAGGCTCTTCAGCAACGATATACATTGATAAGACGATAATGCGTCTAGCCCCGTGGTGGGCTCGTCGAGGAACATCACTGGCGGATTATCGACCAGTTCCAATGCTATGCTGAGCCTCTTCTTCTGACCTCCGCTAAGCTGACTACACTTTGTATTCTTCGTCTTCATCAGATCCAGATTCTCCAACACGTCGTCTATCAGCATACCCTTGGCCTTTTTACTGAGACTGCTGCCGATCTTCAGATTCACCGCCATCCACATCGCCTCCACCACGTTGAACAACGGATGTAACCTGTCGTCCTGCTGGATATAACAAGACTGTTTCCTGTACTCTTGCCAGGTGTGCTTGCCCTCTCTCCCGATGTACTCGATCTGGCCCTTCCACATGTCCCTGTCGAATCCCGTAAGTATGTTCAGCAACGTCGATTTTCCAGCCCCAGAAGGTCCCATGATCGCGCACAGCTCGCCCGATTTGAAGCATCCGCTGACGCCCTTCAGTATTTCCTTCGTTGGGCCACGGAAGCCCACCCTAGCCTCGCGTGTCACATTCGTGAATTCGATGTCGATCGCCTGTGACTTTGGCAGATTCACCAGCACCACTCGCTGATACATCGTAACCCAGTGATCTTTCCTCCGACCCGTCGAGAAGACGATTGCTCCCTGATGCTTCCCTCTTGGTGTCTCTGTCTTGCCAATGCGACACGTAATCCCTCGTGATATATTCGTGTTATCGGTCCGTTGCAAACTGTTCTTGAGGAATCTCTAAACGGGGTCAACGAAGAGGTTCGTCGTTCGAGCCTTTTAAACGATATCTATCGAGCCTCTTAACTAACCTCGATACCGATCACCTTGGTCTTCCCAGGTAGCTTCGCTGATCACTCGAAATAGAGTATATCTTCCGTGTCCAATTCTCTTCTCATTCCTGGTACATGTTTCTAGGTATTCCGCTGGATTTTTATTTTATCGTTTTGATCACTTCGAATCAACTTTTTACACGCATCTCGACGATTCAAGCTTTCAATCAGAATACTCGGGGACAAATAAAACTGTTCTATTAATGACCGCGAGTGTACTGCAACGCGGCTCGAATCGCGTGTAGCGGGAATCGTCTTCGTGGCAGCGTCTTATCATGCGTCTGTTGGCCGAGGAACGGTTACGCAAGCGTCTCGCTGGCACGAAGAACTGCAGACGCAAGAATTGACGGGCATCTTCGTCTTGATACTCCTTACCCGCGATCCCCTCTCTTCCGGTTACCTTGATCTTCTAGTAACGTTTCGGTCTCTTCCCTTTCGACTGTTCTTTTCTTTGGCGACGAGATCGCTGAAGCTCTTTAAATCTCGAGGATTTCTCGTCCAGTCATCCGGTGCATCTGCAATCAGTTTTGGGATGGTATTATTAACGAGCATTAGAACAATCGGTGACGTAGGAACTTAAGGTACATGCATGATTATGCGTAATAAGGATATAAATTAGGGATCATGGTTTTGGACGTCATTTAAATACAGGGGTACTATTTTATGTACATTTAAATACAGATTAGGTACTCGTGCATTAATGCAGCGTTAGTTTAATTCGTGTCATTTTTAGAACATTGATGTCAATTTATGGATCGAGATTATAGACTGACAAGTTTCGAGGTTGATGTTGAATATTTTGGCAGGCCGTGCACAGTGAGGATTGCAACTGTGGCTTTAGTTATGATATTTAGTTACATATGGTAGAACCGAATAATAATAATGAAAAAACTATACAGCACCAAATAATAATGATAATGTTAAATAAAATCGTGTTATGTGAGATTGTTCAAAACGACAGTCGTTACTTAAATGAAAAATTAAGCTACAGAAAATTCAGTTGAATTAAGACTGATTGCCAGGACACCCAAAAATATTGGTGATATGTATATTACAAAGTAACTGGATTATTTAAATACCGTTACAACATTTTTGCATAAATTACTCTCTTAATATAATTTAAAACAGGATCTTCAGTAATTAAACGCATATATCTTCGACGATTTATGACTCAACAAACGAACTAAAGTGTGTCTGGCTACGTACGGCTTTTTTCACTGTGGTACTAAACGGAGTAAAATTGCGAAATCTTGGTTATTCCCCAGTTTTCATACGGTAGAACCAAATAAAACTGTACAGTACAAAAAACAACACAAAATCAAAGAATAATGTAAAAAACTGTGCAAATTGCATCGTTTTTGCCAGACTCAGCACACAACGGTGCTAATTAAAATATCGAGAAATGACAGTTGCCACGGTGAAAGGGAAAACGCGCATGGATTTACAACTGATTATCCAGAAAAAAAGAAGTTATTGCAGTACCGTGTCATTCGTTACGAGCAATCGGGCAGTTATTATTTATCGCACCGTTTAACAGAGTTAATGGACGATGATTGTGCGGTCGAGAGAGAAAGAAAAAAAAGCGAACACAGTTCTCAGTACACGTTTAAATGATCATTTATCATCTGAACTACGATTTTTCTAATTCCACGATCATTTTTCTTACTCAAAATCGTGGGCTGTCTCGTGTCGGTCTTACCAGAGAGGTTTGCCTGTTGACTAACGATCGATTAATCGTTTAAATATACCTTTCCCGGCTTTGTGTAAAATCGCTGATTCAGCTGAAAACAGGCGTGGTAAATCTATTAAATTGTACGATACGAGGCGATTTCCTTTGCAGATCGGTACGACCGCAGGCCAGTGTCAAACGTTGACGTCCGATGGAGGGGGGGGGAAAAAAAACATACAGGAAGGATCCTTCGATCGAATATTTAAAGCGATCTCGATCCATGTGTCGATCACGCTATAGCCGGTTAAACTGTCGCGCGTACGTACTTCCGGTTTCATTATCCCTATCTGTTGCATAATTTCAACGCGTCATCGGATGACCGTTCCAGGAGAAAAATATTTCTGTCTCTTCTACGGTTCAACTATTTTTCTTTATAGTTTCATCAGGATATAAAATCTTGCTTTGAAGTTTCAATTCAGCAATCGTAAACTTTTCATTCTCGAATTATTTAAAAATTACCAAAGAAATATTTTCTTGTATTTTTCTCTATATTACAGGACATATAAATTATTCACAAGATCATTTTAATATTTTCAAACCGTCTAATGCTATTTTTCGTTCGTTACCATTTGACAATCTTTTTACTTTTATTAAGTACTGCCCACATAATACATAACGCCTTGAAGACGCCCTTTTTACGGCTATTTTAAGTCTAAGGCGTCTTTAAGCCGTCTTCAAGGCGTCATTAGGCGTCATGTACTATCTGGGAGTTATATATAATAATTCCCATTATAATGTTTTATAATACATAATGAAACCCAATTCTTTCTTACCTTCGATCAATAAACCCTCTTGAAATACTTGAAAGAAATTAGAGTTTTGTAAGTTTCTGTTGCATCAATAACATCTTATTTTACCCAAAAGCTTTCAAATGCAAATTCAAATTTATGCCATATCATCTATACAAGATTATGAAAAAATACATGATACTAATGTTTTATTTCGTAATTTAGAATACGTAGTCATATGCCAACGACCCAGGTATCACATGATGCCTTGAAGACGGCTTAATGACCCCTTAGACCTAAAAATAGCCGTAAAAAAGGCGTCTTAAAGACGTCACGTGCTATCTGGGAATAAGAACAAAAGGGTTAAAACATTCTGGAATTAATGATTAATCTCTCATACGGTCTCTATTATTACTAATAATTCTCGTAATTGTTATTTAACTAGCATGCTTCTATTCTTTTACTATTATCTAAGTAAGTACTATTTGCGACCTATTTGTATGCATCTTAAGCGGCCCGTCTATCACGGACGATAACTCCAGTGCTGTAATATCGTGTTAGTCATGTGTTTCGCGAAACAAGCTGGTTTTCACGTGGCTGGCGTGGTTACATAAACATGATCTTGAATCATGACGAACAATGGCTGACCTTAGATCGCCGAGCAAATTGCTGCGGGAGCCATTTCACCCGCGGACTCGCTATATCACGAGGTTCAAGCAATTATTTCTCATTCCCCGCTACCTTTGCGTCACTCTAGTAAAAAAAAAAAAAGTCCGTTTAAAATTTTAATTATTTCACAGTTCCGTCAAGGTTACAACCTTCCACGTTAAATCCTGTTCGTGGAAGCTATTCCGTACGAAATATGGAAATTTACATAAAATCCCACGGTCTGCGTGCTTGCTCGTTCGCATTTCTAGACAGTGTAACAACGACTTATCGCGGGAACACTCTCAGTTCAACATACTGATATTGTTAACAGGTTATGAAATCGGCAATTTAGAATTTTTTGTTGATCTTCGATCGTACGATCGCACGAAAAAACCATCCGATATGGATTGATCAGTCTGTCGGTGTAAATCACGGAAATGTAAATAAAAGTCCGGGAAAATACTCAATTAACAATTACAATGCGGTTTTTCATACAGTAATAATTGGTACGTTTAATTGAACAGTATCGTCTGGTAACAATTTAACCGATTAATACCGGTCAACCGCCGTTTATGTAATATCGACGTAATGGCGGCCGTTGTTTTTTTTTTTTTTTTTTTTTTTTTTTTTAAATATTCCAGACGGTCGATCTCGACCAAATTCAAGGTCCTTGCAGTCTTCGAAGACCCGTTTTAACGTTTACATATTCACGATCAACTGTCCCTGCGTTATCGACACGAATCATAAATCAAACTTCGATCACCCGCAACAAAATCGAAGACTACGCGGATGATAATTTATTCGTACGAACTAGTTGTGTGTCGCGTCGCCAAGTTACGCAAACGCAACGACATATAAGACATAATATAATGTGCATTGATCGTGGGTTGTTCGATTGTGATTCAATTATTGACCCGATTGCATACGTCGATTAATTGGACTTTAAACCACGCACAGTAGCCAATTTTCTCTTTACCGTTTCATTCCCGCTGTTGCCATATGGCTACGTAATCTGAATTACGAAATAAAATATTAGGTCAGATCTAGAGAAGATATGTTTCTTCATAAATTAAGTTTTATTTAAATGTAATTTGTATTTTATTTAATTTTTCGATAATTTACATAGTATTATGTATTTTTTTGTATCTGTCAGAATATAATAGGTTCTTCTTGTCTTGCATAGAAGGGATGACAGAAATTTTAATGTGCAGTTAGAAGTTTATTAGTAAAATAAGATTTTATTATTTTTTATGTAATTGGGGATTGGAACGCTTTGCTAATCTAAAATCTAGAATCTAAAATCAAAAATTTAGAATTTGAAATCTAGAATCTTAAATCTAGAATTACTTATGTCAATCAACTGTCAAATTTTTATATTTTTTATTTTTTTCTCCAACTGATTGGGGAAGTCCCTAAATATGTACTTGTACTATGATTCAGCTGCAAAAACTGAAACCTTCTCAAGTTCAGTTGTTTTTTTCAATCAAATGGACGCACAGTCTCGTACGATAAAGATTTGCCAAGTCGAGCATCACATTTGCGACAAGTGAACGCAAGAGAATTATTATTAACCGAGTGATCTCGCAAAAAAATTGAGGTTAAGTAACACAACTTAACCGATACATAATATGGCCATTGAAATTCATTCATTAGGACACTGTGCCATTGAAAAGTAAAAAACAAGATCGCGAAAGAAAGAACGTTCCTTTGTGTGTATTCCATGAAAAAAAACGAAAGGTCATAACTCTTCCCGCCGCTATTATTATGTACAACGGCGATCACGGGAAGATGAATGGTCCTGCGATAGTGGCGTCTCGCCGCGTGCCTCCGTAGTTGACCGTATCACTCGAATATTTTCAAGTCGCTCGTATAGTATTACGTTGTTGCAAACATTCCGGTCGTTTCGAAGATACATCAGATAGCAATTCAACGTCATTAAAAATCTGTTAGTAAGGTAAATGGCCCCAGTGGTTTGACACGTCCTAGTAATTGGACATTATCGTGAATTTTTGTTAACATTAAATTTAAAAAAAATAGTAGAGTACTTTGGGATAAAAAATAATTATCATTAGATATTTCTTATCACAAGAGCATACAAAAATTTTCGCAAACGCGGGATGTATTGTTTAAAAAAATATTATCATTTAACAGAGTGCATTTCTTAAGCTCGTAAATAATAAATAATTCGCGTGTTTCTACTATGGTAAAGGTTTCTTAATTTTTAAAAAATAAAAACTTTCTTTTAAATCTTCAATGAAAATGCTGGTTGCGTAGTGATTGGACACTTGTTCAGCCATTTCAACTAGATTTTATACTCTCAATAAATTAGGACGCTGCAGAAGTTACGACTAAATTATAGATTTTATGCATTTATCAAATATACGATTGTCTCAAACTCGGTATAGTTAAATTTTCAGTGAAATCAATTAGGGTTTTTATTGTCGAAAAAAAATCCGTATTCCAGTTATGTCCATTTCAATGCTTACATCCAACAATTTAATTAAAAACAACATAATTTATATGTGACAATTAAATTTTATA